TAGCGACTCTATAGGACAGAGTAAAACTGCCCCATAGAGTTTCCCAGAGGCGCCTGGTGGATTCAAACTGCTGACCTTTTGGTGAGCAACTTAACCGCTATGCCGCCAGGGTTTCCAAATGCACATAACTAACACTTATATAACTAGCTGGCTATGGCTAAGTCATTTTACATTTGCAAGTGGAAAAGAACATCTCCTAAAATAATTCCATCGCTTGCTTCTTCTTCTTAAAACAAGAAAAAAGGCTACGTGGAAACGGTGACAATGAGCGAAGGTAAGAAAGGCACAGCCACAAACACCCCAACGAGAGGCTCCGTCAGCGGAGTGAGAGATGGATGTGAGGAACAGGCTCAAGACAGCTGATTATTGTTGCTTTAGACACTTACTGCCTTTCATGATGATGAAAAATCAGGAAAAACAGTTTTTTTAATATTTACCCCAATTTAAAAAAACTCTGATGCTGTCCTTCCTTTGAGTAGGTCCGAGTTTCCACACAGGTCTGCTGGCCACGCTCCATGGAGCTTTACGTGGTGGTTGTCTGTGTATTTCCTCTGTGTGCAGTAGAAATCCCAGAAGGCAAATGATTAATTTTGCTTTAGATAGTCATATGTATTTTAAAGGAAGTAACAGAAGGAAAACCACCACCCGTCTGTCAGTCCATTGCACTGTGGTGCTTTGCGTGTTGCTGTGATGCTGGAAGCTACGCCACCGTATTTCAGATACCAGCGGGGTCACCCATGGTGGACAGGTTTCAGTGGAGCTTCTAGACTAAGACAGATTAGGGAGAAAGGCCTGGTGATCTACTTCTGAAAATTAGCCAGTGAAAACCCTGTGGATCACAACAGAACATTGTCTGATACAGTGCTGGAAGATGAGCCTCCAGGTTGGAAGGCACTCAAAACACACAGTGGCCGTAACAACGGACTCGAGCGTGTCAGCAATCGTGAAGATGGTGCAGGAACGGGCAGCGTTTCACTCTGTTGTACATGGGGGACAGTCACTGGATAGAGTTCTGGGTTGACAGATTTTTTTACTTGGCACTTCAGCCACACTGCTTGCTGGCCTCCAGAGTTTCTGTGGAGACATCTTTTGCCGTTCAGATTACTGTTTCCCTGTATGAAATGCGCCATTGTTTTTCAGCTGCTTTCATGATTTTTTTCTTTTTCTATGTTTTTCTGTGTTAACCATGATGTGCCTGGGCATAGTTTTTTTTTATTCATGCTGTTTGGGGTTCACTGGGATTCTTGAGTCTATAAATTTGTCTTTCATCAAATTTGGAAAATTTTTGGTCATTATTTCTTCAAGTATTTTTTCTGCCCTACTATTTCTCCTCTCCTCCTGGGACTATAATTACACATATGTCCAAACTTTTGATATTTTCCACAGGTTCCCAGGGCTCTGCTCATTCGTTTCAATCTTTTATTCTTTTCTTCAGATCAGATCGTTTCTGTTGATCCGTCTTCATATCTCTGTCATCTCTACTTCTCAGCCTGTCCAGTGAATTTTTTATTTCGGATATCATACTTTTCAGTTCTAAATTTTCCACTAGGTCCTTTTTTTACGTTTTCTACTTCTCTGCTGAGATTTCTTTTCTTTTTTCCCCACTCAGTATGAGGTTGTTTTCTCTTACCTCACTTAGCATCATTATGAGAGCTGCTTTAAAGACCTTGTCTGAGAATCCCAACATCTAGGCCATCTTGAGGTTGGCCTCTGTCAACTGCCTCTTCCCTTCAGAGTGGGTTATATTTTCCTGCTCCTTTGTTTTTTGCATAATTCGGGTCATATCCTAGGCATTGTGAATGTTATCTTGTGGAGAATCTGGATTCTGTTATATTCCTCTGGACAGAGTTGATGTTTTTGTTTTAGTGGGCAAGGAGCTTGGTTAGACTCAGTGTAAGCTCTGCCACAACTGAAGGACGGCACCTCAGTCTTGGCTCAGCCTTTTGTTTTTGGCTGAGTCATGTGCAGTCTGCCCAGCACACGTGTGAGCAGTTCTGGGGTCACCCAGAGACTAGGCAGAGTTCATACACAGAATCTGACTGTCTCCTTCCTGGATCCTCCACCTGCTCTTCAGTGGCCACAGCTGCCCAGAGCTCCATTCCCTGGTTCCTCAAGCCAGAAGGAGAATGGACTTTCTATCTGAGTACTGGCCGACACATGCATGCCAGGGGCCTGCCATCAGGCCAAAGCCCCAGAAACAGGAAATGCACTCCTGCCGGTTGCTTCTGCCGAGTGTCAACTCCTGAGTAAAATCGGCCTGCTTGTGTTCTCTCCCCAGAGCCCTCAGGTGGTTATTTTCTGTGCGTCGTCCGTCATTCGTAGACGTCACCTGCAGCAGCTCGCTCTGTTCGGAGCTTACTCCACCATACTTTCAGTGAGACTCCCAAGTATATTTTAAAGAGATGTTATACATTGGCTTTTTGCTTCTCTTTTGTTGCTGTAATAACTTTAAGACCGTGAGGATCATACCATTTTATTCTCTAGTCTAGACCAGAAGGAGCCCTGGTGACGCAACAGTGATGCACTCAGCTGCTAACCAAAACGTTGGCAGTTTGAACCCGCTCAGCAGCTCTGCTGGGGAAAGGCCTGGCGATCTGCTCCCATAAAGATTAACCCAAGCTCAAACCAAACCCATTGCTGTCAAGTTGACTCCGACTCATAACAACCCTTTGGACAGAGTAGAGCTGTCCCGTAGGGTTTCCACGGCTATAAATCTTTACGGAAGCAGACTGTGGCATCTTTCTTCTATGGAGTTACTGGTGGGTTCGAGCTGCCAACCTTCCGGTTAGCAGGCAAGCACTTAACCACTGCACCACCAGGGCTCCTTCCCGTAAAGATTACAGCCTAGAAAACCCTCTGGGGCAGTTCTGCTCTGTCACATGGGGTCACCATGAGCCGGAATCGGCTCGACAGCACCTAACAACAAAAGTCTAGACCCCAAACTCCACAAATGTAAGGATCATTCCGTCTTGCTCACTATGGGATACCCAACGCTGTCGGTGCTCAGTTAACGTTTAAGGACAGAAAGGTGAGTCAAGTGAACTAATGCCAGAAATGCGTGCTTCTCAGGTAGAGGATCAAACAGTGGAGGCGGCACAAGGCTCGAGCAGACACGCGATCCACCCTCCCGCCCATGACCTAAGACAGAGCGAGACGCACGGAACACAAGAGCAGAAACAGCAGTGCTAACATGCCTAGGTGTAGCTCGTTCCCTGCCCTGGAGCCCAGATCTCAGGTCCTCTGAGCCACACGGAGCACTGAGGCCTTTATAATAAAAGCCTGCCTCCTCCACTCCCTCCCTGATGACTGGGAGAATTTGGGGGTGTAATGGATTGAACAGGAGCCCTGCTAGCACGGTGGTTAAGAGCTACAGCGAGCTATGGCTGCTAACCAAAAGGTCGGCAGTTTGGGTCCACCAGCCGCAACTTGGAAACTCTATGAAGCAGTTATACTCTGTCCTGTAGGGTCACTGTGAGTTGGAATCGACTTGATGGCAGTGGGTTTGCTTTGCGTTTTATGGGTTGAATTGTGTCCCCTGAAAATATGTGTTGTAAATCCTAACCCTTTATACCTGTGGCTGTGATCCCATTTGGGAGCAGGGTTTCCTGGTTATGTTAATGAGGCCAGTGTAGGGTGTGTCTTAAACCAATCACTAGAGATACAAAAGAGCGGATCAGGCACAGAAGCAAGTAAGCGCTGAGTGGGGAAGACAGACGCCCGTGAGTGAGATCCCCGAGAACAGAAGCTGAAAGCGACAAGGACCTTCCCCCGGAGCCGACGGAGAACCTTCCCCTAGAGCCGGTGCCCTGAATCTGGACTTTAGCCTCCGGACTGTGAGAAGATACGTGTGTTTGTTTAAGCCCCGCACTTGTGGTGTTTCTGCTGGAGCAGCACTAGGAAATCGAGACGGGTCCTCCTTCCCAAGGACCTCGAGACAGACGAACTCCCACACGCACTGTGCCCCCATGGCCTCCTCGGCCTCTGTGCCCACTGGAGAGTGATGCTCCCCTTACGCTGACCCCGACCTCTGTCTTGTCCACCCGGGGGCTGCCTCCTCTGACCCTCCAGCCAGAGAAGCCAGCAGCCACAGTCGCACAGCCGGCTTGGGGTCTGAACAGAAGTCCTGCTCTGCACGCTCATGTTGGGTTCGGACCTTCCCCAGAGCACAAGCCAGGGGAGGCCTGCGACACCTCTACCATGAAAACAGAAACAAAAACCCACGGCTGCCGAGTCGATTCCAACTTGTAGCGACCCCGTGTGACGGAGCAGAACTGCACCATATGGTTTCCTAGGCTGTGATCTTTACGGGAGCCCACGGCCGGGTCTTTCTCCTGCGGAGCTGCTAGGTGGGTTCGAACCGCCAACCTGTGGGCTGGCAGCCAGCGCTTAGCCGTTTCTGCCACCAGGGCACCTTCACGCCACCACACAGAGCCCGAATCAGGGTGCCGTCTGAGTGGCTCCACCAGGGTCACCAGACCTCAAAACCAAACCTGTTGCCGAAAATCCCTCCTCTGCGTGGAGATTTACACGTGGCTCAAGTGCCCACGGGGGACTCTGTGCGGTGCGCCGCGAAGAGGCAAAGCCTGCAGGATCCTTTCTGCGCGCGCGAGTATCTCCATGTGGCAGGGGCGTGAATGCTATCACCTACAGAGGTGCTCATTACAATACAACTCAACGCGCGCCGCCGTGCCTGAGAGAACCGCTCTTTCCCAGCAAGATGGAGATGGACTCTGTAAGCACAAAGCGGATCTGAAAACTCAGGGTTCACAGGTATGTCAGCTGGTTGTGGGCAAGGAAGCCGGCTGGGGTTACAGTCCTGAGGGTTCATGACAAACATCACATCAGAACTACGTGGTGCATTCCTGAACAGCTGATTGTAGGAGCCCCGACAATAACAAGCTGAGAAGAGCTGGGGGGAGCGTATATGTATAAAAAGATGCGTACCCCAGCATGCGGCGCTGAACTCTCAGGGAGCGCTTTCCCAGATGCCATTCACTTACCAAAAGCGTACCTGGAACACAAAAGGAAAAAATCTATTAAAAGTTTGGCTTGACAGAGAGTCCTGGACGGAGCAGGAGAAAGGTGGGGTACAGAACTCAAATTCTAGTAAGAAGACCAGACTTAATGGTCTGACTGAGATTGGAGGAACCCCAGAAAGCATGGCCCCTGATTCTCTATCAACGCAGAACTAAACAATTTCCGAGGCCAACTCTTCAGACAGGGATTGGACTAGACTGTGGGACATAAAGTGATACTCGTGAGGAGTGTGCCTCTTAGCTCAAGTAGCTACAAGAGATTAAACGGGCAGCTTCTGTCTGGAGGGGAGATGGGAAGGCAGAGACGGTTAGCAGCTGGCTGAATGGACATGGGGAATCGGGTGGAAAGGAAGAGTGTGCTGTCACAGTATGGGGAGAGCAACTAGGGTCACATAACAACGCACGTATAAATTTTTGTATGGGAGACTAAACTGAAATGTAAAGTTCATTTAAACTACAACAGTTAACAAAAAAATAAAAGAGAAAACAAATTGTTTGGCTTGATTTGTCAAGGAACTCTGACACGTCAGCGCGGTGTGGACCCACCTTGTAAAGCTCCCCCACAGCGGACCCGGGACAGTGTCTGCCCAGGGTAGAGGTGATGGCCACCCCGCGGGAGGTGACCTCAGAGGGGAGACTTGACTCCCAGAGGACTCACGCAGGTAACAAGGAGCCCGGTTTCCGTCAGACCGACCCTGCACCCAGATGCTGTGGCGAATTCAGTTTTCATGCCCCTCCCACCCCATAACAGGCCAATCAAAACCTATTTTGAGTGAATAGAAACAACACTAGGTCCCTGGATGGAGCACATGGTTTGTGCTCAACTGCTAACCTAAAAGAGAGAAGTTCAAACCCTCCCAGCAGTGCTGCAGAAGAAAGGCCTGGCGGTCTGCTTCCATAAAGATTACAGCCAAGAAAACCCAAGGGAGCAGTTCTAATCAGTAACACACAGGGTTGCCATGCGTCAGACTGACTTAATAGCAACATTTTTTTTTTTAATGTAATACTTGGTTTTCCTGCAGCATAATTTCAATCAAACACTGCAGAAAAATGCCGTACCCTGGAATCTGAAAGGCCAGGAGGGAACACCACTACCATTAGAACAGGTCATTATAGAGGGGACCTAAAGTAGCTGGTTTGGTGGGTTGTCTCCATTGCTAACGGTCTGAGAAGGGTCTTTACTCTGGGTCCCATCGGCACAGTGGGGCAGTCAGAGCCACACAGCTCACGTGACGTCTCCTTCACTCTGCACGGGAGCAACTGACGTACAAAGGACTCAAACCACAGAAACAGACGTTCCTATCCAAGTGAGAACTAAACGGGTGGGGGCTGCACACGACTGGAACACAGTCCCCGTCCTGCCTCCACCTACAGCAACTTCCGCCCAGAACCACTCGCAACCAATCTGCGATTTGGATGGGTGAACAGAAACTGCTACAGCCATCTCTAGCTCCTACAGCCATTTCTACCTATTACAGCCATCACTAGCTATTATAACCATCTCTAGCTCCTACAGCCATCTTTACCACCTAAAGCCATCTTTAGCTGTTACAGGCATCTCTAGCTCCTACAGCAGTCTTTAGGTATTACAGCCATCTTTAGCCACTACAGCCATCTTTACCACCTAAAGCCATCTTTAGCTGTTACAGCCATCCTTAGCTCCTACAGTCATCTCTAGCTATTACACCCATCTCTGGCTCCTACAGCCATCTTTAGCTATTACAGCCATCTTTACCACCTAAAGCCATCTTTAGCTGTTACAGCCATCCTTAGCTCCTACAGTCATCTCTAGCTATTACACCCATCTCTGGCTCCTACAGCCATCTTTAGTTCCTACAGCCATCTTTACCACCTAAAGCCATCTTTAGCTATTACAGGCATCTCTAGCTCCTACAGCAGTCTTTAGCTATTACAGCCATCTTTAGCTACTACAGCCATCTCTAGCTCCTACAGCCATCTTTACCACCTGAAGCCATCTTTAGCTATTACAGCCATCCTTAGCTCCTACAGTCATCTCTAGCTATTACACCCATCTCTGGCTCCTACAGCCATCTTTAGTTCCTACAGCCATCTCTACCTATTACAGCCATCTCTAGCTATTATAACCATCTTTAGCTATTACAGCCATCTCTAACTCCTACAGCCGTCTTTGCCTATTACAGCGATCTCTAGCTCCTACAGGCATCTTTAGCTCCTACAGCCATCATTCGCTCCTACAGTGATCTTTAGCTCCTACAGCCATCTTTAGATCCTACAGCCATCTTTCGCTCCTACAGCCATCTTTAGCTATTACAGCCATCTTTACCTCCTACAGCCATCTTTAGCTATTAGAGCCATCTTTAGCTCCTACAGCCATCACTAGCTCCTACAGCCATCTTTAGTTCCTAAAGGCATCTTTAGCTCCTACAGCCATCTTTAGCTCCTACAGCCGTCTTTAGCTATTACATTCATCTGTACCTCCTACACCCATCTTTAGCTCCTACAGCCATCTTTAGCTATTACAGCCATCTTCAGCTATTACAGCCATCTCTAGCTCCTACAGCCATCTTAACTCCTACAGCCATCTCTACCTCTTACAGGCATATTTAGCTCCTACAGCCATCTTTACCTATTACAGCCATCTCTAGCTCCTACAGCCATCTTTACCACCTGAAGCCATCTTTAGCTATTACAGCCATCTTTAGCTCCTACAACCATCTTTAGCTACTACAATCATCTTTAGCCCATACAGGCATCTTTAGTTCCTACAGTCATCTTTAGCTATTATAGGCATCTTTACCTCCTGAAGCCATCTTTAGCTATTACAGCCATCTTTAGCTACTACAGTCATCTCTAGGTCCTACAGCCATGTCTAGCTCCTACAGCCATTTTAGCTCCTACAGCCATCTTTCGTTCCTACAGTCAGCTTTAGCACCTATAGCCATCTTTAGCTCCTACAGTCAGCTTTAGCTCCTACAGCCATCATTTGCTCCAACAGCCGTCTTTAGCTCCTACAGGCATCTTAGCTCCTACAGCCATCTTTAGCTCCTAGAGCCATCTTTAGCTCCTACAGCCATCTTTAGCTACTACAGTGATCTTTAGCCCCTACAGGCATCTTTAGCTCTTATACCCATCTTTAGCTATTACAGGCATCTTTACCTCCTGCAGCCATCTTTACCTATTTCAGCCACCTTTACCTCCTACAGCCATCTCTAGAGCCTACAGCCATGTCTAGCTCCTACAGCTATCTCTACCTCCTACAGCGGCCTCTAGTTCCTACAGACATCTCTAGCTCCTATGGCTATCTCCAGCTATTACAGCCATCTTTTCTCCGAAGGCCATCTCTAGCTCCTACAGCCATCTTTAGATCCTATAGGCATCTTTAGCTACTACAGCCATCTTTAGCTCCTACAGCCATCTTTAGCTACTACAATCATCTTTAGCCCATACAGGCATCTTTAGTTCCTATAGTCATCTTTAGCTATTATAGGCATCTTTACCTCCTGAAGCCATCTTTAGCTACTACAGCCATCTCTAGGTTGTACAGCCATGTCTAGCTCCTACAGCCATCTTTAGCACCTATAGCCATCTTTAGCTCCTACAGTCAGCTTTAGCTTCTACAGCCCTCTCTAGCTCCTACAGCCATCTCTACTTCCTACAGCGGCCTCTAGTTCCTACGGACATCTCTAGCTCCTACTGCTATCTCCAGCCATTACAGCCATCTTTAGCTCCTATGGCCCTCTCTAGCTCCTACAGCCATCTTCAGCTATTACAGCCATCTTTAGAACCTATAGCCATCTTTAGCTCCTACAGCCATCTCTAGCTCCTACAGCCATCTTTTGCTCCAAAAGCCATCTTTAGTTATTACAGCCATCTGTAGCTCCTACAGTCATCTTTAGCTCCTACAGCCATCTTTACCTCCTAGAGCCATCTTTAGCTCCTGCAGCCATCTTTAGCTATTACAGCCACCTTTAGCTCCAACAGCCAACTTTTGATCCTACAGTCAGCTTTAGCTCCTACAGTCATCTTTAGCTCTTACAGGCATGTTTAGCTCTTAGAGCCGTCTTTAGCTCCTACAGCCATCTTTAGCTCCTACAGCCATCTCTAGCTCCTACAGCCATCTTAGCTCCTACAGCCATCTCTAGCTCCTGCAGCCATCTCTAGCTCCAACAGCCATCTCTAGCTCCTGCAGCCATCTCTAGCTCCTGCAGCCATCTCTAGCTCCTGCAGCCATCTCTAGCTCCTGCAGCCATCTCTAGCTCCTGCAGCCATCTCTAGCTCTTACAGCCATCTTTAGCTTCTACAGGCATCTTTAGCTTCTACAGGCATCTTTAGCTCCTACAGCCATCTTTAGCTCCTAAATCATCTTTAGCTATTATGGCCATCTTTAGTTCCTACGGCCATTTTTAGGGGACACGTTGCCTATTACTCAGCCGTGAAAAGGAATTGGGCACTGACACGTGCACCATGGGTGAACCTGGCAATGCGACGCTGAGTGAGAGACGTTGACCACAACAGGCCACAGAGTGTACACTCCCATCCCAGAGTTGGGCAGGATCAGTGGTTGCCAGTGGCAGGAGCAGGAGGGAAGGGGAAGCGACTGTTGTTGGGTCCGCGATTCTGTTTGGGGTGATTAGAATGTTCTCCAAATAGAGGTGATGCTAATACAACATTGTGACTATGTTAAAAACCACTGAATCTTTCCTTTTCCGTGGGTGGATGCTATGGTATGTGAATTATCTCAGTAAAGATGTTGAGAAGAAAACATGGTGGCCTAAAAGAACACACGTGAATGGAATGACAGAACGTCAGTTGTGGGGGCCGGCCGCGGTGAGCAGGAGAAGCAGGATCTGCCTGAGTGGGGGGGTCCTCTGGTGAACGTGGGAGCCGATGGCCAGTCACTGGGAGCATCACCCCTACTGCTGGTGAGCATGTTTGTGATTTTCCAAAATTACAACTGAAAATAGAGACACTGTGGGCAACGGTAGAAGAGACATTTCTGAGGCAATCGGGGAGAACCGAATGGGGCCTGAGGAGATGGTTTTAAGAAATTATGTGTGTTCTTTATTGAGTCAGGGGTGCTGGGAACCGGAGGGTTTTTGTCTGTTTGTTGTTCTTTTAGTAACCCGTCACCCAGCAGAGATACAAACCACACACAGGTAAGGTACCAACGGCTGGGGCTTGTTTGTAACTCCAGGAGAGACAAGCTGGGAGGGGGGAGAGGCCGACGCCCGGGTCCAGGAGGCTTCCTCATGCCGCGTTCTAATTCAGGTCGTGTCACACAGACAGCACTCTGCTGCGTCCTCACACCCCGTCCAACCAGAATAGGAGTCCACTTCTACACGTCAAATACATCTACACCTTGTACCATCCTTCTTCACGGCACTAGCAAGACAAACAAACCCCACGTCTGTCAGTCTGTCGCACTGAGTTGGCTTTCGGGTTGCTGTGATGCTGGATGCTCTGCCCTGGTATTTCAAGTACTCTTTGTGGACAGGTTTCAGCAGAGCTTCCAGACTAAGACAGACTAAGAAGAAAGGCCTGGCCATCTATTTCCTAAAATCAGCCAATGAAAGCCCTGTGGATCACAACAGAGGACTGTCGGATACAGCGCTGCAAGACCAGCCCTCTAGGCTGCAACCAAAAACAAAACAAAACCTGTTGCCGTCGAGTTGACTCCGACTCACAGCGACTCTACAGGACAGCGTAGAGCTGCCCCCTAGGGTCTCCAAGGAGCGCCTGGTGGATCTGAACTGCCAGCCTTTTGGTTAGCAGCCAAACTCTTAACCACTGCGCCACCAGGGTTTCAGACACTCAAAATACACGGCCGCCGCAACAATGGACTTGAGCATACCAGGGATCATGAAGATGGCGCAGGGCCAGGCAATGTCTCGCCTGCTGTGCCTGGGGTCACCAGGAGCTGCAGCCAACTCAACAGCACCTAACAACGGCAACAAACCAAACAGAGAACGCTGCCCGGCCACCGTCGGGGGGAGGCCACGCGCCCGCTGGCCAGCCTGGGGTATGGACGAGCCTTGGGCAGGACAGTGGGACCGGTGGCACAGGCACTCGTAGGAGGCTGTTATGTTGACGTCCTCGAGCCAGAATAAGCTTGTCATCATTGGTAGTCAAACCCAAGCCCTGCATATGGTGCCACGTGGACTTGTCCTGGTCCCTTATTACCCGTGTGGACGGCAGCTCTGGCCCGTGTGGTCCTGGTCCCTCATTATCCATGTGGACGGCAGCTCTGGCCCGTGTGGTCCTGGTCCCTCATTATCCAT